TATAGAGGAAAGATTGCTGGCTATTTATAATGATAGCCTAGACAGGGAATACTTCCCAAGAATCTGGAAAATCGCTAACGTCAAGCTCATTTACAAAGGAGGAGACAAAGATAAGCAATTAGCCAAATCTTATAGACCTATATGTCTCCTCCCAGTCATGAGCAAGGTGTTAGAAAACCTGATACTCACCAGCCTACGGCCAGTCTTCTCGAGGGCGAGCCATCCACGGCAGTACGGATCCTCTAAAGGCAGGGGAACCGCAGATGCCCTGCTGAGAGTGCGCTGTGATGTCGAAGAGAAGGCGGAGAAGTATGTTATGCTCCTCCTGTTTGACATATCATCCGCCTTCGATAGCGTCTGGTGGCCGAGCGTACTCCAGCAGTTGCAAAGGCATGAAGCCCCCAGCAACTTGTATGGCTTGATCAGAAGCTATCTCCACGATAGGACATTGAAGATTAAAGGTAGCTTCTATGAAGTAGAAGATACAGTGGAAAGGGGCTGTCCACAGGGCTCTGTCCTTGGCCCTGCCCTATGGAAACTGGTCTTTGACGAGTTGCTGGGAGTGCTAGAACAGGAGCGGTTCCCCGCCACTGCATATGTAGATGACCTGGCTGTTGTAGTGGCCTCGAATAGCAGGGCCAGATTAAAATATGAAGCTGAACGTTGTGTCAACCTTGTAGAAGAATGGTGCGAGAAAAAGAAGTTAAGGATGGCGGGTTCCAAGACTCAGGCCATCCTCTTGAGAGGTTCGACCGATAGGGCACACCCCATAACCTTGGTGATACAAGGTTCCAGAATATGTCCAAGTGAGGTAGTCACCTATCTTGGAATTAGGATTGGGAAAAAATTCAACGTGACGCCTCACTTGGATTACTTAAGGAATAGGATAACCTTAGCCCTTAATGGTCTCAGTCGCATAGGTGGGGCCTTTTGGGGCCTTAGATATCCAGCAACTATGTCCATTTATAAAGGAGTAGTTGTTGGTATCCTGAGATACGCGTCCCCCGCATGGAACCGGAATCTCTCGTACCGTCAGAAGCGCAAGTTGGCAACAATCCAGCGGATGGCCCTGCTTAGAGTAACCAGGTCATACAGAACTGTGTCCCATGAGGCGGTGCAGGTCTTAGGAGGAGGTATTCCTCTCGACCTCCTTCTGCGGGAAGACCTTTATCGGTACAACATTAAGAGGGATGACTTGGCGGATTTACCAGCAAACATTCGGGAGAGGATTTGTGATGACCCCAGAAGATGGAAGATGATCCTCCGGGAGGATACATTGGAACAATGGAATCGGCGATGGGTGACAACCCCAAACGGGTCCACACTAAGAAAATTCTTTCCCACTATTAAATCGCGCTTAGAAAAGAAATGGGTCCTCCCGGACTACTGGGTCTCACAGATCCTCACGGGGCATGGGGGTTTCAGAGCAAAACTTTTTAAACACGGTAAAAATATCGACCCCTTATGCCCCACTTGTGGAGTACCTGAAACCGCTGAGCACATCCTTGTAGCCTGCACCAGCTATGAGGCACTGAGGGCCAAATTAATGAGGGATACAGGGCTTTTCGTTCTTACAGAAGGACAATTACCCCAACTAATGTCTGAACAAAACTACCCGCACTTTATAAGTTTCGTATGCGGCTGGAAAAAAACTGTGGGCCCAACCCACTTCTCCCTGGGAAGGCGTGAAGAAGCAGTACCTGGAAGGCCGCTAATTAGGACAGGAGAAGAAGATGGAGAACAATAACTAAGTGACAAAATTATCAAGCAGGCTGTGTGCACAGCAATTTAAAAATGTAAATAGATAAACATGCAACAGTGATTTGTTATGTGTATCAAGTCACTGCTGCAAACTCCCGTATTGTCTTAAAGGCAGGGTAGGGAGGAAAATAAAATAAAAAAATAAATAATAAAGTTGAGAAAATAGAAAGAGCCACAAAGTTTAGACTGGGGCAATCAAGGTTTTTGAATGTATAATTTCTTAATGTATTTATCTCGTTTCTTTATATGTATTTAGTAATTAGTAAATTATAGTTATTAAATGTTGAATGAGTGTTCAGTTGTCAGAACCCAACCTGAGAATTGATGTTATGTGTTAAAATAAATAGATATTCAAAAAGTAAACTCGTTCTTTGTTTTCGTTGAAAAAGGGAACGTTACAATACGTACATTCTCATATTGGGCACACATAAAGACAAAGATATAAAATATGAACATATATACCCGAAAAAAAAAAAAGCACAACCTGAGGAGAAGAGAAAAATAAATAAATAGTAAAAATAATAGTCAAACTAGGTGACAAAGATCATTGCTGTTTTATGTTAAAACTTAAACAGTAGGCACCACTATTTACTTCGTGTAGGCGAATTCAGTTCATAAAATGAAATTTATGGTGGTAAATCTTCTGTTTGGGATGTAAGGAGATATTGGAAAAGGAGGTATTTGAAAGTTGACCGGGAAGAGGCATGACGTATGTTATGTGGCAAAGAATTCCAATAGGAGACGGAGCGGGCTAAGAAGGAACGTTCATAGGTTTTTGTCCTGTGGAATGGAATATAGAGGTCAGAAACACGGGATCTCGTTTTTATTGAGTGGACTAAGGGTTTAGGCTGGAGAAGACAACAGATATAGGAAGGGTGCTGGGAGTTGATCGTTTGGTATAAGAAATTTCCAAGGAAGTATAGGCGGCGGGAAGAGGGGAAGAGCCACTTTTGACTCGGCATATAGGTGGGACACATGAGACCATCTCGAAGTGCCGAAGACGAATCTTAAAAAACAATTCATGATTCTCTTTAGTCTCTCCTCAAGCTCAAACGAGAGGCCACCGTATACCACACAGCCATAGTCAAAGTAGGGGAAAATCAATGAGGAAACGAGGAGCCTGCGGATAGGTTGTGGGAGATGCTGATGAGAACGATGAAATAATTGAGTACCAATAGACCTTCTGGAGTTTTGAGCAATATAGGGTTTCCATGATAGGTTTTGATCAATGGTAATTCCTAAGTTTTTTACAGAGGATGTGAAGGAGATAGGTTGGTCATTAATAATCAAGGAAGGATGGGTGGAAATAGATCTAAGGAGGGAGTTGGAACCTATAAGAATGGCCTGAGTTTTCGTTGCATTCAACTTTAATTTATTTAAGCTTGCCCAGGCACTTATCCTATCTAGGTCTCTCTGAATATTCGTAAACGCTTCTAATAACTCAGTGGGTGGAAAGGAAAAATAAATTTGGGAGTCATCAGCATATAGATGGTATGAACAATGGTGGATTGAACTAGGAAGGTCATTGATGTAAGAATTAAAAAGGATAGGAGAAATGCTTGAACCCTGGGCTACTCCATGAGACAAAGTGAGGAAAGAAGATAAGGGTTGATTCGGAATACTAACGGTTTGAGTCCTGTCAGAAAGAAAGGATTGGAACCATTGGATAGAATTATTGGAAAAGGATAGAGATTTTAATTTATTGAAGAGAATAGAATGGTCTAAGGAGTTGAATGCTTTGGAGAAGTCCAGGAGTACTATTACAGTCAGTTTTCTTTCGTCAATTGCAGAATGTATGTCGTTTGTAATTTTAGCTAAAGCGGATTGAGTGAAGAAGTCTGGGCGATAGCCAGATTGGAGTGGATCTAAAAGTTTGAACTCTTCGAGATAATTGGAAATTTGGGATTGGACTATTCTTTCGAGGGGTTTTGACAGATTTGAGAGGATGGAGATTGGACGATAGTCTTTAGGAGAGGTGGGGTTAGGGATTTTATTAATAGGACGGACTAAGGCTTTTTTCCAGGATGTAGGAAAAACAGAATTTTGAAGGGAAAAGTTATAAATGAATAGAAGAACTGGAAGGATTTCAGGGAGGCATAATTTTAACAGTTTGACAGGTATTCCGTCAATTCCTGTAGAATTGGATTGGGATTTCATTATGGAGGAAATAAGGTTTGTAGGAGTGATGTAGGAAAAATAAAAATTGTCACTATTAAATATGGATGATACAGGAATATAAGAAGAGGCGGGAGAAATATTACTAGAGGAGGAGGATAAAAAGTAGGAATTTAAGGCATCAGGAGAGACTGGGACAGCTATGGAAGAAGATGATTTGCAAAGAGATAGCTTTCGGAGTAAATGCCATTTGGATTTAGAATCGGGAGCTGAGGAGAAGGCTTCATGAAAGTAATTGGTTTTCGCTTGCCTGATCGCTGTTTGCGTCAAGTTCTGGAGTACCCTGAACGCTTCGTAGTCATCTGCAAGCCTGGTTCTTCTAAAACGTCTACGGGCTGCCTCACGTCTCTTTTGCATATTTCGAATTTCTTGATGCATCCAAGGAGCAGGTTGGCGGCGGAATGTAGAGGTTTTAAGTGGGGCATGGGTATTGAGGATATGGAGGAGATTAGAAGTCAGGATATCTACCATGTTATCAATTGAGGAGCTGGTATAAACATCATTCCAATTCAGGGTTTCAATATCGGGTAAGATGCTTTCACGGGTTAGGGAATTCATATTGCGGAAGGTTATGGTTTTAGGAAGGATCGCAGGGGTCTGGATATTGTATGATAGTTGGATGAGGTCATGTGAAGACAGGAAAAGAAAAGGTTGTTGGGACGAGGACAAAAGGTTCTGCGCAGAATCGATGATAAACAGGTCCAGCCATGTATCAGACCCGCAAGTGTGATGCGTAGGAGCAAATGGCACTATAAAGAGGTTAACGGAGTAGAAAAGGTTTTCCAGGTAGTGTTTATCGTGGGAATTGGAAAGGAGATTGGCGTTAAAGTCACCGGAAACGATTATGTTACTGTAAAATGGGATAAATTTGTCTTTTTTTTTAACTATCATTGGTTCTCAACATCTAATAAAATTAAAAACCAGATTTATGTAAAAAAAACACCAGAAGAATGTATTCTAGAAAGAGGAAATTAAATATATAAGTGGCTTATTTTTTGTCAACTTTACTTTTCATTAAAAAATTGAGCAATAAATTATTGTTTTCCGTTTTTTTTTTTTTTTAGGGCTGTCAAAAGTGTTCTTGTAATGGCTGGGTCTTTGAAGCGACAAAATCCTGATGTGAGGGAAGACATTGTCCTAATTAGAGCTTTACGAGATTCAAATCTCCCAAAATTTCTTGCTGATGATGCTGTGTTGTTTAAGGTATTTTCATTGTATTTTTTTTTTTTTTTTTATAAAAAGTTTTTTCAGTGAGTACCATTTACTATAGAAAATATATTTATTTTTTAATATGTCATGTTTCAACAATGATATTTTAAAAAAATGAACAAAAACGATCTGCAGATAGCTTCATTTTTAACCCGTTAGACCGGATCCCCAGTTAGAAAACAAACGTTCTTCCTAATGATGCAAAAATATAATAGCACTTCCACTAATGGTGCAAAAAAGTTATAGTTCCTGAAGCTATTTCCTTATTTTAATCTGTTAAGAGTGACAAAACGTTACTAAGAGTATTTGGTTGTATTGTATATTTAATAATACAATGTACTGCTATGTTCCTGGCCTCGCGTTTCTACGGCGAGTAGGGGGTTTCAGGAACCGCATTTATTTGTAATAAAATGTATTTAATATTTATATTTGTATTTATATCGGTCCCAGAAGGGAACCGATCAACTTAAAAATATATTAATTACGTATTTAAATGTTAGATACCACAGACCCCCTACTGTAGGATCCTAGATTGAACCATATAATTTTTATTGGATTTATTTTCTAACGGTATCGTGTTTCTAAATTTACTATTTGTTTCTATTACTAATTGGTGGCATTCAAGGTAGAATGTAAAATTAACAAGATGGTTTGCTAACTATTATATTTACAGGCTTAAATAAAACCAAACCATATATACAAAATAATGAACAAAGCTATATACATAATGAATAGTTGAGAATCATACTAGAGGAGAATGCTATGTTTACTTTATCCCTGATTTAAGTTACTTTGATCTATTTATTCTATTAATGATTAGGGATAGCCACACACAAGTTTTTACATCTGTATAACTAAATGCTTGTTACCACTTAGCTGGTTCTTCATGGTGAGGTGGGTTGTCGGTGTCTCTATCTGTCATTTCATTGCCGCCTTCCTGGACCTCTGTCTTCCTCCAAGTATCAACTGTCCTAGCCTCTCCTCAGCCAAGAGTCTTCGCTTGAGTCCCAACTTAAAGTCCTTCCTCAAAACTCACCGTCTTAGCTTTCAGTCACCCCCTCTCTTTTTGTACTTTTTCCTGATTGGCTGAATATTCCTAGCCTAAGGGATGACCACGCCCTCTCCCCCAGGCCAAGATATTCCACTAACCAGGTATATTTTAGGTATTTCTGGTGGAAGGTGTGAAAGGCTTTCTGGAAGGTGTTAATGTTTCTTTGGATCCTGTTTAAACACTCAGACGTGAGACTGTTGTCGATATTTTGTAAGTGGTTCTTAAGGGTTTTTATTACCACTTACAAAAGGATGGCTTGTTACTCTCCCTCATGTACAGCCAGATGTTATGATACCTTTGAACTAATTAACTAAATTCCACAGGCGGTCTTTAGAATACATAGCAGTACATATTTTACATGTGTACAGTAATGTGTATATAATGCTTTATATCAATAATGAAAGAGTTTCAGGGTTTAGTTATATCCAATTTTGCAGTTTTAATAAATAATTATGAAAACTGGTTACTTGGAACAAAATGTATGTAAATATAAGAGAGATTCAGGCCATAATTAATGAATCATGGATGGTATCATTAATGAAATTTAAGCTTGAGAATTTATATTTTATAATTGGTGTATTAATCAATTGAATTGTTTTAAAAGAATTCTGGAGTAATTAAATTTTCTTTCTTTACAAAAAAAAGAAAGAAAATAGAGTATATTTAAGCAATTTTGTTGGATAGTATTTGAAAGACCTTTATGAATAATAATCATCTTAAATTAAGTTATTTAATTATTTATTTGGTTATTGTATTTCTACCTTCAGGATCTATCTATGGCAAATATATAATTCATATATATGTTTGATTTTTGTTTACATTAAAATTAATTGTATATTAAAACTAATGACTTATTTATACTTTTTAGGGAATTTTAAATGATTTGTTTCCTGGTGTCACTTTGCCTGAGCATGATTATGGGTACTTTCAAAAAGCAATGGAAACTGTTGTGAAAAATAGAGGTCTCCAACCTGTTCAATGCACATATACCAAAACAATTCAACTCTATGAAACAATGCTTGTAAGACATGGTGTAATGACAGTGGGTCCTACAGGAGGTGGAAAAACTACTGTTTTAAATGTAGGAGAAGTATTGTAAATTGATGATTTAATTTTCATTGGGGAAAGGATACCTAAATCATTATTAGTTATCCACTAATCCTTGTCTCAAATTTCTCTTTTTATAAAAAAATCTAGTGACCAATATGATAGTTTCCATGTTTTTCCTAGTTAGATTCTTTAAAGTTTAGGTGATGTAAAACAATCCATGTACATGTAAACATGTTTATTCTTGTATACTAAAAGTACAAAAAAATTTTGTTACATCAGAAAGGTTATTGATAGTTACATTATAAGTTTACTACACTTACGTCTTTGCTACCCCATTATATTTTTAAATTTAATAGAATTTTTCTACTATCTTGATATCCAATCTTTATAAATATAAAGAAAATTAGAATATGTGAGGCTTCAAGAATTGAGTCGGACAATCACTTTATGAATCTTTTTAAAAGAATTAGTCTTGAAAAATAGGTAGTTATGATTTCCATTGCAGGTGAGTGGTTTTGATCTGATCCCGGAAGCAGCAATTAGTAATAATTATGGTCCTATGGGCTTTACACATGCTACTGGGTCAGTCATAATTGAGTGGCAAACTCCACCATATAGATAAATTAGTTATAAATAGTTTTTAAAGAAACAATGTTCTAATCAGTTTTGATTTAATATTTTTTCTTAAGTTTTCAAATTTTTTAATTATTGCTTTTTATAGGTCTTGAAAGATACTCTCGCAACATTGCACCAACTAAAAATTGAAGGACCTTATTATAGACCTGTACTTATTAACACATTGAACCCTAAAGCAGTTGCCATGGGAGAACTGTATGGGGAAGTGAATCTTTCGACAATGGAATGGAAAGATGGCTTGTTAGGAATTTTTGTTAGGAAAGCTGTCAGGGTAATAACATTTTTTATATCTTTTGTGAAATGAAAATTATCTATGTATATTTAATCTCCTATCTCACTTTAATTTGTATCTTCTCATATTTTATTTTTATTACTTGAAATTAAAAGTTTTTTTTCTATAGTTATTTTTTAAAAATTTGTTTAGAAGAAGAGGCGGAACAAAATACACCAGAGTTAGTTTCACCTCTATCCTTGCATCCGTTCGTCCCTTCATAACTCTGGGCATTTATTGAGAATCGGGTCTAGAAGTGGGTAAGGGTAAAATGTAGGGAGATATTGAATTACTGAGGACTTTCTTTTTTTTATCCATATTGTTATAAAAATGACAACTTTTTTGACTGTTCTCTCTGAAATGCTTTATTAGCAGGATGCTTCTGACAATGATTCTGAACTTGAAGAATGTGCCTTAGAATAGAATAATAAAAGTCTAATGAATAGTGATATTAAAGATCTTATAAAGATGATGGGGAGAGTCATAGAGTAGTTTGAAGTCTTAGAAGGATACAAAAAAAGTTTGGGTCGAAGAGGATTATATCAGCAAAGAAAACCTGCATGAAATCATCACCAAGATCAAATTAGGCTAGGCAACAGGACTTGACAAGATTACTCCTGATATGATAAAGCATAGAGGCCGCAGTGTCCAAGAGATGTTTCTCTATGGGCGACGAAGTAAGGAAACCAAAAGTAAGACCCTGTTGCAAAGAGGCATTCTGTAAGGCATTTATGGAGTGAAGCATAGATTGGGGTAGGAGAAGAGAGTAAGCCCAAGATTGAGAAACCTAGTCCATACTGTTTAATCCTGGATTGCTGCACATCATAATAGTTACAGGTGTACAGGGGTTCAGATGTACCCCAAGAAAACAATTATTTTACTTTCCTAAATAAATGAATTGTTTGCAATTTGAGCGATTGACTCGGCTTTTTCTGTTTACGTTGTTGGCAGAAAGCACATCTTCCAGCTGACGATACCCTATTAGATGCAGGTTTCAATGATGAGTCAATGTCAAGGATTTGACTTATGAGAAGCCGGAGTGGATACTGCAAAGTTGGACCATCTACGCAGGCCAACAGGTGCTGCCCGATGAGCTCTCATTCCAGGCTTTTCATGAAAGATAGCCTATTTTTTATGTTTTGCTAGTTATTACTGTTGGATTAATTCAACAATATCATAAAATTCACAATCTCCAATAGATCATAAAATAGAGTGGCATAGTTGGTCCAAACTGTTCACTCTACCTTTGTTTATATAATATAATTCTATAATTTCTGGAAGCACAAGTAGGTTTATCTCAGTCGGTGGTTATATATAAAAAAATAAACCATTAATAAAAAAGCTAGTTCCACACAAATTACACAGGGGTACAAGTGTAACCCACCCCGAGCTTTTCAATTAACACAGACAGCAATTAGCTGTAACGCACTGACAGTCATGTACCACCGTGTGGGACTGGGGGCTAAAGAATCCCCCACCCTCCTGGAACAACGTCTGTGAATTATATGAAAATAATTCGTGAACTGGGGTACACCTGTACCCTTGTGCAGTGTTCCAGGGTTAAAATAGCACCCTTACCCTGCATAGTAGTACTAGAGGAGAAAGAATATGTTGATGATGAACGATTCATTGTTCCGTCAATTTTCCTTCTTTTTTTTCCATATAACATTTCACCTATTAGTTTACAGATCTTTTTTAGATGTTTCCTTTTTTTTCCTTTTCTATGTTCGAAAATAGTAAACTTCTCTTCCTATCAAAGAAATTTTGAAGTTAAAGAAAAAAATTAATGACTCATTATGTACCTGAGGGTCTCTTAACAAGATAATAGTATATTTGACTGTCTTTTAATGTAATTAAGTTAATAAAAATGCTTATTGTGCATTTATTTTAACAAAATGCCTCTAAAAAAGGTTCATGTTGTATTAAACCTGGCTGTATGGTCCGTCTCATCCCAGACTACATCACAGTTTGAGGGTTGATTATAATTTATTCATAATACATATGAGTTATTTATTGTATAGTGCACTGAAGAAATTCACCAATGGGTGGTTTGTGATGGACCAGTAGATGCAGTTTGGATTGAAAATATGAATACTGTACTAGATGACAATAAAATGTTATGCCTTGCTAATTCTGAGAGAATTAAATTAACACCCTGGGTAAGTTATTAATAAATGAAATTTAATATAAATTCTGTTCCATCATTTGGATATTGTTAACTGACAGCAACCGTTAATGACTATTATAGGTTCATATGCTTTTTGAAGTGCAAGATTTATCGCAAGCTTCTCCAGCAACGGTTTCACGCTGTGGTATGGTTTATATTGATCCAAATGAATTGAGGTGGATGCCTTATATGTTGACATGGGCTCAAAATCTTTTAGCTAAGGGAGTTATAGATGAAAATATGTTTCAAGTACTTACCAGCACTTTTGAAAAATATGTAGATAGTGGTTTTGATTTTGTTAAGAAACATTGCATTGTGGGAATTCATCAGGTATAAATATTTCTTTTATTTTTAAGAATATTTTTTAAAATCATCTCACTATTTACATTTTTTTTTTTTGTGTGTTTCCTGCATCCTAATCATAAATAGGTTGAAATCAGCAAGATTGCTATGCTGTGTTCAATGATGCAAAGTATTTTAAAAAATCCAAAACTATGGACAACAAAAGAAGATTCTGAAATCAGAAAAGTCATTTCTGAAAGTTTTCTTTTTGCCTATGTATGGTCTATTGGGGGAAACTTAGTTGAGAGTTCAAGAGAGCCATACAGCCAATTTATTAAATCCCAATTTGAAAAAGTTAAAGATGTCAGGTAAGAATTATTTTTTTAAAAGTTACTCGCCAATATTTGAAACAAGGGTACTTATGCAAAGAAAAATACCCGAAATGAAAAATAAATAAATATAGCATCTATAATTTTTACTTTCACTTCCCCTATGTCTGAAAATATTTTTTTCTGCTAAAAGGAGAGTGGTAAGTAACAGTTGTGTGACACGCGCACCACACTAGATTTTTTATTTGCTTATCCCACCATTTCATATTCCAACTCTAGGGTTATCCAGAATAGCTTTAGCTGTGTTATCCCAAGGTTCTACTGTATATAATTTTTACAGATTACCTCAATTTGGTTCAATATGGGATATGTATTTTTCAATAGAGCAAACAATGTTAAGAAATTGGACCAGTATTATGCCACAGTTCAAATACAATCCAGATGTTCGATTTTTCGATATGTTGGTTCCTACAATGGATACAGTGTGCTTTGGATTTATTATGGAAATGCTACTTCAGGAAAATCACCCAGTATTTTTTACTGGAACAACAGGTATTTTAAAATTAACTTCTGTTAATTTTCTTAAATCCTTTCTTGGCTTATAAAGTACTGATAAGTTTGAGTTGGCCATGTGATCAGTTAGCTTCCATAGCAGATCTTATTTCTCAGTAGATTATTGGTATTGCCTATTTAATGTTTTTATTTTATCTGTAAGATTAACCTGATACAGTATTTTAATAGTATTTTGCTTACTATTAAAAAAAGTCAAGGTTCTTCTTTTCTCTTCTACAACTTTATTATTCTTTGTATTATTTTGACTGGTTATTATTAGTATTTATTATTTGTCTTTTATTTATCTAGCTATAAATTATTCGTTTTTATAGGCGTCGGAAAATCTGTCATTGCTAAAGCAGTATTGGACACAATGAGTGCTAAAGGAACTTGGGTCGTTAATATATTAAATTTTTCTGCTCAAACTTCATCTCTTCGTACGCAAGAAATGATAGAGTTAAAGATGGAAAAAAAGAAAAGAACTATGCTGGGACCTCCATTTGGAAAAAAACTAGCACTTTTTGTTGATGATGTAAATATGCCAAAACTTGAAACCTATGGTGCTCAGGCACCTGTGGAATTACTAAGGTGGTTTTCATCATATCTAATTTATTTATTTTGTTTTTTTCTCTAATAATTCAACTAATCCTATTCCTATATGCACAACCATTTAATGAAATGATATAAATCATTTGTGTATAAAATGGCTTAAAAAACGTGACTGACCTGATATTATCCTCTCGATTACTAATTTAAGTTTAAAGGGTGAACCAAAGATACACAGCAGTTTTTTTTTTTCCATTTATTGGTTAATGTTTAATACAAAACATACTTTCAGCATTTCTTGATGTAATTTCCTATTTGAATTACTCGCTTTTGTTAATTTGGAAGCTTAGATATTCTTGTTCACAAAATGTTTAAGATCAAGTTTCAGCTAATTGCACGTATATTCCACTATTTCTTCATTGCTTTGGAATAGGTCTCACCCAGGTGATTATTTCAAGGCTGGAGGATGTTGGAGGGTTTCCCAACTCATTTCCTCCAATTTCTCTCTAGTCAAATTGCAGTGTAATATCTATCATGGAGAAGAATGAGGTCCTCAATGACTATACCTTGTTTTTTGTTTCAATGGACAGTTTTTGGAGACTGTTACCAACTTGCAAATGTAAGTCATGTTCTTGAATCCATTTAGGTAAATGTACTTCAGTATTTCAATCTGAAATTATATTCTCCCAATGAACTATGGTCCCTCAATGCTGCGGAATAAGGAGCTATAAGTTAAAAAAATTACATTTTATACTAAATGCTAGGTAGAAATAGGGGCATTAAGCAACTATTCCAGCAACCCTGCTCAATGTAACAACCAGTACCAAAGAAATTCGGTATTCCACTTAATGATGAGGCTGACAAATAAGAAAAGACTCAGATAATATTTCCATAATCTCAGGTTATGTTACGACTTAGGTTTGAGTTGTTTTGGTTGTATGAACTCCTTGGTGAACCCAAAGGATTTAGAGCTTGTCAATCCATCAGGCCTTCTTAAATTTACTAATATGTTTAATAATAAGAGCTAAGTTATGCTACACAATAGGCCTAGTGAGTATTTGATGCTATAAGTCATTCCACATTCACTATTTGATGATAATGAAGAAAATCAACAACTAAAAACTCCTTCTTTTAAGGCATTGATCATTCTATGGTCCACTTATACACTTAATTCTGGCACATTATAGTGTCCCCAATCTGTGCCTTTAAACAATTAAAAGTTTCTGAGGGGTTAATGTATTCTTTGGTTAAAAATATATCTCCTGCTCTGTCAAGGCTGCACTGAAATTATGATTTTCCTTTACCAGAACTATGAGGATATATTATAATTAGATAGATATCTATTGCTTCCACTACAACTATAATGAGAGTGATTTTATGTGATATAGTGTGAAGGTCATAATTTAATTTATAAGAGCTTTTCCTCTATTATTTATCCTTACAGCATCTTTCAGGATTTTACCTCCTACCTCATTTTCTAACTACTGGAAGTCCTTGATAAATATCCTGCTCCAATTAAAATATTAAACATGAAAAATAATATTTCTGAAATATATATTGAACATTCTATCAATTATTATCAGTATCTGTTTAGGAGGGAGTGGGTAGCTCAGTGGTAGGGTGCTGAGTTTCCAATGCTAAAGGTCCCAGGTTCGAATCTCGGCTCATGACAGATAATTATTTATTCTATTTCATTCGCCATGGGGAGGCCCTGGGTAGATAGACCCTCCTACTGGGCACACCCAGCCTCTATAAAGTGGGTACCCTTAATTAAAATAATTAATCAAGGGGAAAACTGGGAGTTGATCATGATTTCGTTCAAATCATTTCCTTGCACAACCGTAGACCATGAAACAGCGCTTTCCCTAAATAGTACTGAACCCTTCATGGGTTTTAGTGGTACAGGTAAAAATCTGTTTGGGAACCATTAACATATCTTCTGCAGCAGTTAACATATTATTCATGAAGATATTGTATTTTTTTATGTAACTAGTTCAGGATCATGGTCATAAATTGGGTTTGAAAGCAACAGCTTTTGTTCTAGGCAGTGTTTGCCCAAAAGAACTGGAGCTATACCCTTTAAGCCTGATCGTCTTTATTCCCTGTTTTTCTACTAAGCTGTGAATCAGAGATTTTTACAACCACGTACAACAAATCTTTTTTTTGTGAATTGAGAATCTTTCTAGTTTCAGCTAGCAGCATTTGATTTGATTATAAAATATCATTGGTATCTTAAATTTTATCATAGTCTGAGTGTTAACAAATTAGTGCCTTAGATATAACTTTGTTTTAAGATTAATACATACAAAACTCCCAACAGATATAATTACATAAAATAAAATTGGTTATTGTGATTCATCTTTTAACAGACAGTTCCTCGATTTCAAAGGCCTTTATGACAGAGAAAAACTATTTTGGAAGGACTATGAGGGTATGGTACTTTGTTGCGCTTGCGCACCCCCGGGAGGTGGCAGAAACCCATTAACACCTCGTTACGTTCGGCATTTTGGAATGTTGTACATTCCTGCTCCATCGACTGTAGCCCTAAAGATTATATTCTCGGTGAGTTTTTCTTTTTTCAGTTTTGTAAACCTTTCTCCATCATTTAAATTGAAGTTTGAAGTTAAATTAAAGGTTGTCTAGCTTGGCTTTCTAGGCTGAAGTATGAAAATTGTCTAACAAGGTTTAATTTAAACAAATTGCTGAATGAAGATACATCAAAATTAAGTGTTTTCTCAAACATTAAACAGTCAAAACAGTGCTATTAATTTAAATAAAACGCAAAATGAATCAATAAAAAAACATTACTTATCAAATAAAACAGCTACAAAAATGTCAAATGTTAATTAAATGACAATTTTGGACTAGTGTTGCTTAATTCCATATGCTTAATGCAATATACATTATTCAAGTAAAGAAAAACGTGTATTTTCCATTGTACATGCAGAATTAAGCAATGCTAGTCTAACTTGTCATCTGATTATTGTTTTATAATTATATAATGAAACTTTTGTAGAGGTTTTATTTAGTATATTTTTTTAACATTGATTTGTTAACTATTATGGATAAGAAACAAACTAAATTGGGCCAATATAAACAAATAACTTTTATATTGGACTTTCCCTCAAAGTGATAAGAAAAGTCATGTGAGAGGATACATAGGATTTTATTTATTATGTATTTGTGGAATCCCTGGACATCCGTGCCACATGACCCTACCATCTTATTTGGTTACTTCTTTCAATTGAGATCAAATCCAGCCTTGCATAGATATAGATCTCATGCAGCTCTTTATTGGTGCAAATTCTCCACTGCTCATTTTCACATGCTGGACCGTAGATCCTGCATAGAACCCTTCTCTCCCGTGCGAGTAGCTTCCTTTCTGAGGCTTGAGAGATTACCTAAGTCTCAGAACCATAGGTGACAACGGGTCTTATGACTTCTCCTAGTGTGATTTTTGTCCTATAAGAGAGGGACTTATAATTTAGCAATTTTTTCATGGTAAAACAGCGTCTGTTCCCAGCAGCCATTCTTGCTTTCAGTTCTTCCATCATATAATTACTTTCTCTAATTAGAGCACCTAAATACTTAAAGGTTTCTACCGCTTTCAGGGTGTGATTACCTAATGTGACACATTCCTCTATTCCACTCGGCGTTCTTGAAGTTCGCATGAAAACAATCTTCTTCTCATTTATTTGTAGCCCTAATTTTTTTAGGCTGCTGTTTCAAATTCTTCGAGTATCCCTGCTAATGCTGTTTTATTTTTTGCCGTTATTACGACATCATTAGCATAAGCTAAATGATGTGTTATCCTATTATAAATAGTGCCACCAGGAAATGTCTGGATCGTGCTTATTACATACTCTAAAGCAATATTGAATAGAGTAGGGGATAAAGGATCACCTTGCCTGAGCCCATCTCTTATCTCAAAATCCTCTGACAACATACCATTCATCTTCTGCTACTGTTTAGGGTCATTCTTGTCAAATTGACTAGTTTTTTGGTGATCCCTAATTTTATCATAGCCTTCAGTAATTCTTCCCTGTTTATGCTGTCATATATCTGTTTAAAATTCATAAAAATGTGATGTATCTCAATTTGGTATTCGCATGTTTTTTCTAACATTTGCCTTAACAAGAAAATGTGGTATAAATTTATAATAATAAATAGTACCATATCATATATGATGCTTGTTTTATAAAAAAATCTGTTTTATTTAGATAAACAAAGTTGAAGTTCAGGTTTTTTTTTTTTTATTTAAGTTACAAAATAAATAAATCCTATTGAATAAGAAGAAGTTAAACACCTGGATTGATACATCCCAAACTAATAAACTAAGTTGATTATATTGAACATGATATTTCCTTAAATAAATATATATTTACAAAGATTTTTTGTATTTCAGTTTTTTCTTTTCATTATTTTTTTTTTTTTTTATAACTTTTCAGAGCATATTGAAAGGATTTTTTCATGAATTTTCTAAATCCATTTTTGAAGTTGCCGATGAACTGGTTAATGCAGCTGTTCTGCTATATCAAAAAATAGCTATTGACTTACTTCCAACTCCAGCTAAGTCACATTATGTGTTTAATTTAAGAGATCTGAGTAAATGTATTCAAGGAGTACTTCAAGCTGATAGTGGAACAATGAGAGAAAAGAATGAAGTGTTCAGGTATGGCTTTGACTATCGATAGGTTGTTATAAATTTAGCAGAATTTGAATCTTTATTTAATCTCCTCTTATATTGCCACATCTATATTGTTTTTTTTTCAGATGATTTTAATAATTACAACAATAAATTATTTTCAACAATTTATTAATTACTAGTATACCCCAGCAAAAGCTTTCACATTAGAAACTTGATGTCTGACCAAATTTTCACTCTCTGTCTACTTCTTAAGAAAGCCAGAGTGTATTGAATTAGCACACACCATGTATTTGTAGACTTCCAATAAGCATATTCTACAAACAGGAATGAAGTCTGTAAAGCTATGATTAATATTCAGATACCTCCAAAACTGGTAAGACTCACACACTTGACAATGGAGGATAATCAGTTATATGTGCGAATATTTGGAGACCTTTCAAGAAGCTTCAACATGGGGACGAGAAGCTGTCAGGGCAATGGTTTTTCCTTCCTTGTATCTAACTTGGCTTCTGAGACAGCTGCGAGAAACTCTGATTTCAGAGTTTCTCTGATATTCAGACCACATGAACACTTCTGAACAGACTTGTTCAGAAGCTTGGATATGCAGGTAGTCTGGATCTTGCTGAAAGGACACTGGAGGCAGTCAGGGAGGCTTTTGAAGCTCTGGAAGTAAGCTCTAATAAACAAAGTAAGTACATGTGTGTAAACTCAAAGCATGATATCTGGGAAAGTTTTGTTCACTTGGATTCACACAGGATAGAAGAGGTACAAGGTTTTTCTACTTAAGATCTCAAATGATCTCTCGGAACGACATTGCGAAAGAGATAGACAAACATAATCTGGCGACTAATTGATGTTCATTCGCACTTCATAAGCAACTCCAGTCTATCAACTTGTCGAAATCCACAAAGGTCAGAATATAAAAAACTTTTATTCGACCTTTTTTAACATATCGCTCCAAAACCTGGACACTTACAAAGACTCAGGAACTGAAACTGTCCAGGTTTGAATGAAAGAACCTGAGAAAAATTTATGGGATCGCATATGTTAGCATAGAATGGAGAAGAAGAACAAACCTCAAGTTGAGAAGTCTACACAGAAACTATTCGGAGTATGGAAGGTTGGATGGCCTGTGCTCCAATGTGAAGACAATTACCTATGCATTATCAATACTTGGCATTCATAACTGGAAGGGAGCGGCACAAAACAGAGATGTCTGGTGGTCATTGCTGAAGCAGGCCAGAAGTCAACATGTGGGTCGTACTGTCTTAAAATAATAATCTTATAAAAAATTCAATTCTTAAAATTAAGCTAACCATCATAGTTATTTCAAAATAAATGTAACAATTAATTAATTTTTAGTCAACATAAGTAAAATTGATGAATTTGGAAATAATAAAAAAAACTTTACTATCCAATTAAATGATTTCCTCCCAAGTCTCCTTAGTATTAAAGCTGTTAGCTCTTGAAAGTAATCAAAATAATTCTAAATCATTTGGCTGATGATTAATCATTAATATTGAAATATTTATATTTGTGATTCATTAATAATTAAATGATTATTTATTTACAATTTTACCAATAACTACATTCATTCAACTTATATAATATTTGTCCTTCTGTGTTCCTAAATCCAAAAGCAGTCAAAGTGAATCACAGTATCTTTTTTTTTCCATTTTTATCACCACTCCATCCTATCCACCATAATTTTGGTTTATAAATATAGACAACTAATTAGACTTACACTTACTTGTTCATTCTTTTATTAAATATTTGTATGAATAATATTTCAATTCTGTTTTTAACACTTTTTTTCAGACTATTTTTTCATGAATGCTTAAGAACATTCCATGACCGTTTAATTGATAACAAAGATAAAAGCTACTTTTGGTTTCTGCTAAGAGATATTTGTAGTAAGTATTTATCAGACCCAGTTGTCAGCCTTCCAGAAGGTGGTGGTGAATTAAAAACACCTCCAGTTTTACTATTTGGCGATTTTATGAATCCTACTGCTGAAAAAAAGGATAGAATATACGAAGAAATTAGAAGTGTTGAAAAATTGAAAGCCATATTACAGGTTTGTGTTGTTGAATACAAGAATATGAGAATAAATTTTGGTTATTTTTTTCATTAAAAAAAGAACATTAACAAAAAGTAACATGTATCTAATTTTATTAGTCACATCATTGTCATATATAATCTGTATTTCAGAAACTGTTTTTCTTATATTTTATGTTATCTTTTGATTCAGTATTATCATTGTAAATTCTATCCATATGTAATTTTCTTTTTTTAGTTTTCACTTACTATTTAATAATTAGCATGCACCTCAAGCTAGAGATGGGCAGATGAATTGAAAATCGAATCAAAGAATCGATACCTCTGAAAGGATTGTTATTCTGAAGTGATTCACATGAAAAAATCACAATTCACTTGGATTAGGTCGATTCACTTGTTTTATTTATTTTGTACTTATAATTGGTCTAATGGGGTATCAATCCTAGGATGATAAATTTATTTTTCATTTCATTTACAATTTATATACACAGACCAAAATCTATTATATAATATTTAAAAAAACTTTTCCTGCTTTATTTAAACTTCCTTCCTACTTATAAGGTTCATAATTTTTTATTTGTATACATTTGAACTACGACTTTTAATTTCAATCAGTTAAAAATATATATATGTTTTTGCTTGAAAACCATAAGATTGAGAATGATTGTTATTGTTTTTGTTTCTTCACTACAATGATTGAATTGTTGAAAATCGGCTCAGTTAAAAGAATCAGATTTCCCTTTTATACCTCAAGCTATATGCAATTCTCAAATTAACTTCCTTGAATTTATATTACGAAAAAATACTTGAAGAGTTTCCTTAAGTAATTATTTTTTTCTTCTCCACCATTTTTTAAGATTCCATTCTATTTTGCTCTGTTAATGGACTAAATATATTTTCATTCTATGTAACATGCTTGTTAGGGCCTCTGTATACGGTTGTTTCTTGACCAATGTCTTCAACAGGATATTTAAGTTAAGTGCTTTCATTTTCAATAGATTATGAGAAGCACTACGATAGTTTGATCAAAACTTTTCAACCTGTTGAAGCAATTTCGTCTTACAATTTTCTAAACCCATTTAAAGGGTTGAGTTTCTTAACCTAAATAATTTTCTTCTGGACTTTATTTAAGAATGTTAACTGTGTAAACCGACTTTTAGAGATTATATCTTATAATAGGCTTTATTTTATGAATAGGTTTAGAATAGACATTTTATGACCTTAATTATATGTTTTTTGATGATTTTTTGGAAAGGTGAACTAGTTCTAAATTTTCAGAAACTTTTTTATGTATTGTGAAATAGTCAATAGAGTTTGCTTATCTACCAACTGCCATTAATTTGTTAATTGATTTCAGAAACTCTTTTAATGTTGATAGTTTTTTTTTTACCTTCAAATATTTATGTATTATCTGCATATCAGAGTATCTTCCTCAATCCAATATTCACTCCTTTCTTTTTTAGCAGTATAAATTTTTAAACAAAAGACGATCTTGTTTCTATCCTGTTATAAATTACTTAGGTTTATAGATATTTCAGATGCCATTATTTTTATTTAGTTATTTTTTTAAACTAATTATATATACCCTATAGACCTTGGAAATTTCCTGGCTATACCCAGCTCAGTCAAGATATTCACTTGGTAGATATTTCTATCCACTTATTAATGTGTCTTGAGTAAGTTTTGATGGGATTCTTGGAGATTGAATGTGGAGACCATTGCCATCAGATTTTGCTAACTCTTGAAGCTGTTTTGAGGAAGCCCTATTTTTATGATAAATTGATGATATATGCCTTCGAAATTTTATTTTTATTTCGAAATATAAATTTGAAAGTAGATACTGCCAATTTTCTTATGCCAACCAATGATTATCTCTCAAAATTTCTTAATTTTGTTCTGCCATCACCTGTGACGTTTTCATAAAATCTATACAGGTTAGTAGTAAAAGGTTAGCGGGATCATTTTCTTATAGGCTTTAGATAGCATTGTTTTAAATCTGTTGTTACTGAATTCAATATAATTAAAAAAAAATATTTTGTATTTTTTATTCTGTTGAATATAGGACACTCTTGTTGATTACAATTTAATTAAAGCCCAAGATGTTAAATTAATTTTCTTCACCGATGCTATGGAGCATATTTGCCGACTGGCTCGTATATTAAGAGCTGAACGAGGAAATGGATTGCTGGTAGGAGTTGGAGGAATGGGAAAACAGTCCTTAACAAAATTGGGATCACATTTAAATCTCTGCAAGTTAGTATCATGTAATCATAATTATTATATGTTTTCAACACGATTTTTGATATATGTACATGATATATATTCTTGAAAGATGTTCAAAATTAACAAACCAACCCTCTATAAAGTTTTACTTAAACTAATTTGGACTTATGGACAAATCCAGTCTTTCTAGTTCAAAATTTAGCAAAATATAGTTGACTGTGAGATAGCACCGTTTTATGTCACAAATGATATATGTCACATAAAGACATCCCAACAATTTTAAGACATTCACCAAAGACTAACTTATAAAAAATCCTCTGACAGAAAACCTTAAACGCACTAGAAACTTGTACAGCCCACTCAATGATTATGTAGGCGGTGGCCAAGAAACCTGCTGAACTGATCTATTTCCTGGATATATGATGGGACATTAAGCTGCCAAAAAATTTATTCATTGCAAAGCAATTTGCAAATCGTAAATTTAATTTGATATTAAATTTTATGTTTATGTAGTAATATTAATTTATCCAATTCCAGGCTGTTCCTTAATGACAAAAAAATTATTTTCAAATAATTACATACACATATACATAACTGTATGTAAACATCTCTTATTTAACTAAATATGTTTTTTTTTTTAAGTATCTTAAAATTAATAAAATTTTGAAGAAAAATGAAACAAAAATAGAAATAATATTTTTATTTAAAAAAATATTGAATGATAGTAATTTTTCAGAATTGATCATTTTGTAGTTTCAATAGTGTATAAACCAAGAGGCATTAATTTCTGTTGGAAGATGTAAAATTAAATTAGTATTTTATTCTTAATTTAGTTACATTGAGCCATTATTAGTATTATTATATTGTCCTGATTACAATATTCTTCTATGCTCTGTATTTATTATTTTTAACACAAATTTATTTGTTCCAAGTTGTTTTCAAATAGAACTCACGAGAACATATGATTACAATTCTTTTCACGAAGATCTTCGTAAATTATATTTCAATGCTGGAGCTTTGAATCAGGATATGGTTTTTCTTTTTACTGATACTCAGATTGTGGTAGAAGAATTTTTGGAAGATATTAACAATATTTTAAATTCAGGTCAGTATTATTTCACTTCTAAAACTTTTTAAGTCTGATTATTTTTTCTTTTATATATTCCACTTTTGCTTATTTGTATATCTGCTTCAAGATATATTAAATTAATATTTATTATGCAGTTACAAACATAATGCTTCTATTCTCAATATTGAATTCAACTTAGCTATACGTTTTTTCTTAAATCATACCTACTGTTGATTCATTATAAATCATTATATTTATCATCTGATCATCATTTTTGATGTAGTTTTTATCAACGAAATTGGTCTGTAATCGCACGTTTGTAGAGCAGTTTTTTCCTATTAAAATAAAAGAATTCTAAAATTTCTGTTGAGAAAAATAAATATCAAAACTTGGTTGGACATGTGTTGCAATAAGCTGTGCTATAAACAGCTGTGCAGAAATTCAACAACGTATTTCTGGAAAAATTGAGGCGAAAAGAAAGGACTTCAAGGAAAAATCACTACTACTCAAAAAAGGGGCAGTTTAAAGCCAGTCACTTCCTTGAAGTAAGATACTCTAATGAAACTAATGAAGAGGGAAAAAAAAAATAGGTGCATGCCTTATTTACTCCAAAGCAAAGAGAAAAAAACACACTAGTATTCAAACATAGTTAGACTTTTTGTTGAGTCTTAAATGCATATGACATTGAACATTTTATACCAATTCTTTATTTAAGATTTTAAATTTAAGAACCATAATAACTTGATTTGATTAATGTTATTTTCAGGAGAAGTACCTAATTTATTTGAAGGTGATGACTTAGAAAAATGTATAATTGCTTGTCGTCCACATGCAAAAGCTGCAGGAATTGCTGAAAGTAACAGGGATGGCATTTTTACTTTTTTCATTCAAAAAGTGCGAATGTCCCTGCATGTTGTTCTGTGTATGAGCCCTGTTGGAGATGCATTTAGGTATTATTACTTTCTTTTTTCTGTCTCTCCCGATTTCGAGAATTTATCGTGGTTACTTGCCATAGGAGGCGTTGTAGAATGTTTCCATCCTTGGTGAACTGTTGCACAATTGACTGGTTTATGCCTTGGCCACAAGAAGCCTTAATATCAGTCGCTGAGGACTCTTTGAAGCAGTGTGTTGATTCAAAACTAGTTGATAAAATGTCCTCTACTTGTTATGTAATGCATTCTGTAAGTTATGATTTTTTTTTTACAATAAAAAACACTGAGAATTGTACAGGAATTTCTTATACACGGAAAAAAAAATAGGAAATGTAATTCCTTGAAAAATTTGTTTAAACTCTGCAATATAATGGATATGTTTAGATAAAATTTGATGAGGTAATGAGCTTTAGAAACTTCCAAAGCTTACAGCTGGGATTATTAATAACATAGTGCTTGATGTAAATAGTATTTAGAAATTTAAACCTGTAGTGACCCTACTATTTTGTCAATCCAAATTGGAGATGAATCATTGGGACTCCCAAAAGTTTATTTTATGCACTGGTGCACTTAGTTATGCTTTGCTTAAAATAAAATAAAAAGTGTAACATGATTTTAGGTTACAATTTTTTTATTTTTTTTCATGTGATAACCGAGAATACGATGGAAAATATTTGAAAACCCTAAAAAATACAGATAAAAATTAAACCGGCATGACTGTTCAGTGTTAAGGGTATTGTATAGCCTGCCCACCCCTGTATATATATGTATATATATATATATATATATATATATATATATATATATATATATATATATATATATATATATATATATATATATATATATATGTATTCAAACTTGTGTATACTAAACCCGTATATACTATATATGTAATGTATATATACTAAACTTGTATATACTAAACCCGCAAGACCGTTCAGTGTTAAAGGTGATGTATAGCCTGCCCACCCCTATATCTAGATATGTATCTGTATATATTAAACCCGCAAGACCGTTCAGTGTTGAGGGTGGTGTATAGCCTGCCCACCCCTATATCTAGATATGTATCTGTATATATTAAACCCGCAAGACCGTTCAGTGTTGAGGGTGGTGTATAGCCTGCCCGCCCCTATATTTAGATATGTATCTGTATATATTAAACCCGCAAGACCGTTCAGTGTTGAGGGTGGTGTATAGCCTGCCCGCCCCTATATTTAGATATGTATCTGTATATATTAAACCCGCAAGACTGTTCAGTGTTGAGGGTGGTGTATAGCCTGCCCACCCCTATATTTAGATATTCATCTGTATATACCAAACCCGCAGGACCATTCAGTGTTGCTGATACTGTATACCAATAGAATTTATAAGCTGATTAAATATCTGGAGACAACTTCATTTATACATACCTGTGGACCTAAGTTCACTATCTAAACTTCTCCGTTAGTATAAATCAGATTCGGACAGTATTTCAAATGAGGTATTTTATAATACAAAATACCATCAAATTTATTTGTATTTTATTTCTAAAATATAATTTAGTATAATAAATACATAAAATACATTATAAAATTGAGAAAGCACCTTTAAGTTATGTAGTAAGGCTAATTGTTGGCTAAGTGATGAAATGTAAAATTACATGTAAAAGTCTGTTAATGGAAATTACAATTAACCTATGAAGTTATCAAAAATAATGTTTTTTCTGTAAAATTATTATAAACTATAATTCATATTTTATATTTTATATTCATATTTTATATTTAACCTATGAAGTTATCAAAAATAATGTTTTTTCTGTAAAATTATTATAAACTATAATTCATATTTTATATTTACAAATTTTCTCTAAACATTTGATATAATGAGAGAAGAGAAATTGTGAAATACATTTATTGTAGAAAAACTTACAGAGCCTACAAATAACTCTCATAAAAAACCTACAGTAGATAAATAATTCAAATTTCTCTATATATACAAATACCATTCTCACTCAGTTTAAATTGAAACCCTGAGATTTCTACAAGATCTACCTCAAAATTTACAATTTCTGGATGACTGCCCAGAATGATATTGTTGAATGATTAATTGTTTGAAGAATGGGTATTATTAGAAAATATTTACTACTTTGTCTATTTATTTGTTTTTTTGTTGGTCAATTATAGCTTTTTTAACAAATTGTTCTTTTAAAAAAAATGGTGTGGTCAAATAAATACTAAATTTAAAAAAATAGTTTTTATAATTATTATGCCGTCATTTCGATCCACTTTGCAGGTCTTCATCAGGACGTGGCATGTGGCACTGCAGGAGGCAGTTAATTTATACAGTCGTGCTAATATTATATTAGCAGTCTAAAAAGTGCCTCCTGCAGTGCCACATGACACGCCTTGATGAAGACCTGCAAGGCGGGTCGAAATGCCGGCATAATAATTATAAAAACTATTTTTATAAATTTAGTATTTATTTTACCGACCCCTCCCCTCCCCCCACCCCCCGACCAACTACTTCTCATATTATATCACGGTAAACCATCTCTACATCATTAATAATTACAATACTTTTTGCCCAGGTCTGGTTTAAATTACTGTGTTAAATTGTAAAGCTTTTTATCATCAATCAATAAGTTCAAACAGTTCAATATGTTGGTATTTGGTTTCTGATGTTTGTATAGCTGATGTTTGTAGCTGCACTACTTGTTGCTATGTAAAAAGTACAGAAAATAAATGATGTGAAAGTCAAAATTATTGATGCTCAGGGAGTTAATATTACTTGGGGGACTGCTCAAAGAATTTTTTTTTTTTTTGGTATTTATGAAAACCTCTAATTGAAATTGTTAATTTCAATTATCGGTCAATATTCACTTTTATTTTGGACTGAAAACTATTTGATGCTACAGATGTTGATGACCCTAGAGTTTTACGCCTTAAAGCTCAAACAAACCATTTGATCCATTGAAAATCAAATAGTCCACATTAAAACAAAAGTTTTAGTTGTTCCATAATTGGAGCCAGAATACCTATTATATTTTTTTAAAATGTAAATTATTTTATGATTTAATGGTTCTAAATCACTTAAAGAAACTTTTTTTTGATATTGGCTTATTTTATTTAATGTGCTCAGTGATCAATAATAGTAATTAAAAAATGAACTAAATGAAAACCAATGTGCTGAAAAATTTATACAGTTATGTTTAAATGCATTGATTCTAATTATCAGACAAATTAGCTAACAATGGGTTGCTTGGTGTTGAAGGTACAGTCCTCTGATTTTTTTTCTAAGCTATCCACAAGCAGTAACATTAAAGGAGAATTCTTAATAATTTTTCTAAACATCAATTAACAAGTGTAATTTATGCAGATAATATAAACTGAAAACAAAGACAATATTATTGGTATATTTTATTATTTACAAGTTGTATTTTAACAAATAAAATTAGTGAAATGAGAAAACTTGATTGTAATACAACAATTAACCTAAATCTACATGAAAGAAAATTTTTATCTAGCAATTGGTGGAATAACTTATAATGTACTTGTGAATAAGACATAAATTAGAACCAACTGGTAACGAATTTATTACCAGTTACTCTAGTAGAAGTCATTTTAATATTAACTCTTTCTCTATAATTGCTGGTTTGATGTTTTGTGTGCATCCCAGATTACAGACGAAATTGCCATACCTTGGGTAATGAGGAAGCAAAATTAAAAAAGTAAATCATGAATAATGTTTTATGTTTTGTTACAGAGTGTTGAGGCAATGACTGGTAGATTTTATAATGAAATGAAACGGCATTATTATGTAACACCTAGCAGCTACCTAGATTTGCTTAAATTGTATCAAAAAATGTTAGAGTCCAGGAAAAAACACATTACTCAAACAAAAGATAGAATTAATAATGGTTTAACGGTAGGTATACATTTATTTTAATTGACAATAGTAGTCTATATTAAATGATAGACAAGTTATTATTTTAATTAATTATTGATTTTATAATTAGATATAATTGTTTCTTCTCCTTCCTATATTTATATACTTTCACTCCAAAGTTATACTTATTAGTAAAAATAATTCAATTTTTATAAGGTAAATTATTGCATGCGGCAGGCTTTCACTATTTTTCCAATAATTGGCAAATGCTTGATTTTTTGTGATGTCATCTCAGGAAGTATTTCTCTGAAGTGTTTATGATTTACTTATTAGTGAATCTCACTCCTCCACCTCTTTCCATTAGTTATTTTTTATTTTTTAAAGATACTTTGTAGAGTAGGCTAGATATCTCTGTGACCCAACTGAAAACTTCGCATCTTCTCTCTTGCTTTCCCCAACGCCAGATCGAGAACCAGTACGAAAAGAAGTGGGCTCAGGCTACAATCCTGTCGTATGCCGAGTGTTGTTTTGAACTCTTGAGAGGTATGGTTTCTTGTTCTAACAAGATTCCTCGTATTTCCGTATAAACTGCTTATGGCCCTTATAAGTTCATTATTTACTCCTTTTTCAACTAGAGCCTCAATTATATCTTTTTTTCCAACCCGGTCAAAGGC